GGTGATGTGCCACTCGGCGCGCTGCGCCGCCCCCATGTACAGCTCCATCGTCAGCCTGGCCCTGGCCGACCTGCTCTACCTCTCCACCATCCCCTTCATCGTCTGCACCTACCTGGCCCAGGACTGGTACTTTGGGGACCTGGGGTGCCGCATCCTGCTCAGCCTGGACCTGCTCACCATGCACGCCAGCATCTTCACCCTCACCCTCATGTGCACCGAGCGCTACCTGGCCGTCACGCGGCCCCTGGACACCCTGAAGCGGTCGCAAGGCTACCGGAAGGTCACGGCGGGGGCTGTCTGGTCGGTCTCGCTGCTCCTTACTCTGCCCATGATGCTGATGGTCACCCTGACCGAGGGGGGCAAGGCAGAGGGCAAGGTGAAGAGGATGTGTGCGCCCACCTGGAGCGAGGACGCCTACCGGACCTACCTGACGGTGCTCTTCAGCACCAGCATCATGGCCCCGGGAATCATCATTGGCTTCCTCTACACGCGCCTGGCCAGGACCTACCTGGAGTCCCAGAGGAATCCCCCCCACAAGGAGAAGAGCAAGAGGTCCCCCCGGCAGAAGGTCCTCATCATGATTTTCAGCATCGTGCTGGTCTTCTGGGCCTGCTTTCTGCCGTTTTGGATCTGGCAGCTGGTGCGACTCTACAGCAACTCCCTGCAGCTCACCAACCAAACCCAAAAGTGCATTAACTACCTGGTGACCTGCCTGACCTACAGCAACAGCTGCATCAACCCCTTCCTTTACACCCTGCTCACCAAAAACTACCGGGAATACCTGCGCAACAGGCACCGCAACTTCTACAGGTTCACCTCCTCCTTTCGCAAGAGGGGCTCCAACCTGCAGTGCTCCTGGGGACGGTCCATGTCCTCCAGCAACCAGTATGACTACAGCTCGGAAGCCCTGGGCATGGCCACGCTGAAGGACAAGTGAGGAAGAGGAGGCGCTCCGGAGACACCAGGACCAGCAGAGCGTCTGGCCAAGGTAGGGCTTTGGGATCCCTTAGCTCGGAAGGGTCCTAAAATCTCATTTCTGGTGGTCACTCTCATTAGGGGCAAGAAGTTGTGTGAACCCAAGCACTGTGAGATGGGTCTGAATCTCTGTCTGGCTTAGGGCTGTCAGAGGAGTTCTGCCAGGAGCCAGCAGCCATTCAGGACAAATCCTTCAGGGTTTTGGGGGCAGAAGATGAGGTAGATAACATGTTCAGTTCTGCCACAAACTCTTTTCACACTTTGCTGAGTTTTGCCCAGCTCCAGCTCTGCACTGTTTCTCCTGTGTGGTTTCTCAGTGCTGTCTTCAGGCTACAGCTAGGTCAGATCTGTGAAAGTCTGAAATTGTCCCAGTATTGCTTAATTTAGCTGCAAGCCCTGGGTTTGCCCTATGTATTAACATTGTTTGTTTCTAGAGTGGGTAAAGAGACCTTTAAGCCCCTTTTCTTATTTCCTGTTACATTATAGTGCACTACAGTTTCATCAAGCTTAAAGTCTCTATTTTAAAATTCATTGCAGCAGCACTTCAAACTCCAAGCATTCAAAAACCACAAGGTAAGCTGTCAGAAACCAGAGGATTATCTAAAAAAAGCTTGTAATTTTTTAAGGTTTCTACTGAAGGTGATTTGAATTTGCCACTGGGTTGGGTTTTTTTAAAGCTGGTCTCTTTCTCAACAGTCAACAGGGCTTGGGAAACTGAAAATTTACCTCGGAAAGAAAGAAAAATGTCCTATAATCCTATCACTCAAAGACCTGAGGCTTTAAGAAAAATGACTGAATCCTGTATCATGAGACTCATCATAAAAGGGACAAATTTATTCATGACATTTCATCAAAAGCATTTTGCCTCAATGCATTCTGTTCATTTTCTCCCCACTTAGCGTCTCGTAGTAAACCTTCACCATAAATACTAGAGATGCCTGTAAGCATCTAAACAATTGTAAAGCCACAGTTTATAAAATAAATGCTGATCAAAAAATGGAGCATCATCAGGTTTCCCCTCGCATGGTCTCTTCACCCAGCTCAGGGGTTCTATTTACCAGGGGAGAGGCTGCCGTTCCCAGCTGTGCTCCGAAGAGCTCATGTACGTGGGGATGAAGTTGGCTTCAATAGTTCTGTTTCCTGTTCTGGGACAGGCTCTGGGGACAAGTAAAGCACAATACGAGTTGCATAAACTATTGTCGGCAGCTGGCGGTGCCCAGGGACTTCTGAAGCGGCAGGCAGTTACTTAAGGAACAGTCATTGCCACTTTCTTTAGGCATACTCCGACCCCATCCGTTGGAGAGGAGTCCCACTCCAGCCCTGCGGTGGTACTGGGTTTTGGTGTCCCTGGGTGATCCTCTTGTGTCACACGCCAAACTTCAGGGTATGTTTGTGCTAAAGCAGAGACACGAAGTGCCAGCACCACAGCCAAGGGTTGGGAGCAGAGAACACAGCAGAGCCACATGCTGGATTTTATGCGCTCAACTAGCAGCAGAAAAATAAACCCTTCAGGGCACGTGTTGGATGAAGACCAGGGAAGCATGTTCCCGGTCTGGGAGTCAGGCATTCTTCTTACATGTACAGTTGTTGGGGTGCTTTTTGGGGAGAGGGGAATAAATAACTCACCTTAGAATTGCTTGTACTGCTTTTAACCACGGGACTGTCTGCAAAACACTGGTGACCACTTTGTCATGTTCCAGTACTGCACAGACTACCAAGCTGGGCAGTATAAATATCCCTAATGGTGCCCATTTCCTTATGAAACAGGGGGACCAACACACAGTTCATGTTGGGAATTGTCAGGGAGAGCAGGCTTCCACAATTTTTAGGAACAACTTTTCAGGAACTAATTCATTTTTTAATTATGGATTCTGAAGTCATTGTTACTTTTCCTTTGCTTCCCATTTCCGAGGCTGGAAGTCACTCCCATAGAAGAATAACAAAGATAAGACTTGTCTCAAAAGGCGGTGTGGGAAGGCTGGAGTACGTGCGTCATCTGCGAGGTGTGCTGTGCCATCCTGCTCTCAGGGCGCGTAACGGTGCGGCCAGACAGACATCCTGGCGGAGCCAAGCACGGCTCATCCCTTCCAGGCGTTGCACACGCCATTTGCCCACTTCTGCAAAAACAAACTAATATTTCTTTATGGCTATAGAAAGAAACCCCCACCCCAATTTGGATCCCGACCTGACACAGTGCTGATGTGTCTTGATTTCCATTGCTTGGCCTGAGAAGAGGGTCCTTGGAAGGCCACTTACCCACCACAGCGTTACGAGGCTGCTGCAGGATGGATGGTTACCACGTATGAAAAAGTTACAAGGCTTAGTGTATATCTATTAACAGGTACATAAGGGAAAGCAGATGATGGAAGAGCTGTATAGGTATCAAAAAGAGTATTAGGGAATACACTTTCTGCTTTAAAAAAAAAACCACAGTAAAATATCTAAAAGCAGTCTAAAAACATAGTTATTAATAAGAAGGGGAAGTTGAAAAGCAGCTGTGCCTAGAGAGTAGGGATGAAAATGCAGATCTACATTCATACCCTAACGTGGAGATAAGCCAAGAGAAGGGTTGGATTAGGGGTACGCTTCCCGAGACGCCCCATCAGTCCCCGAAGGGACTCTGCTACTCTGCTCAGTGCCACGAACAGGCACGTAGGGGATGGCTTTCTGTGCCACGTCGTCAGAGCATTATCCATCAAAGGGTTGATGGAGGAGCATCCAGATGAAATGCAAAGCATTGGATATTTGTCACTCATGGGGTTTTTCAACCAGTATGTGGTTCAGCCCAGTCCCATCCCAGCGCTGCTCCTCCTCCCCATCAGGCTCTGATAAACCCATACGAGGTTACTCTAACCAGAGAACCAGTAAATGTGATGACACCCACAAAGCATGTTGTCGTTGGAGCAGAGGAGAGCCTGTTTAACATGCAGAACTGGCCAGCAATCAGAAGATGCTGCTGTGTTGTCGTTGGGGCAGAGGAGAGCCTGTTTAACACGCAGAACTGGCCAGCAATCAGAAGATGCTGCTGCACGATGAATGACGGCTCTTCAGCAGCGCAGGAATGCATGATGAATGACGGCTCTTCAGCAGCGCAGGAAGCACGACATGGTGCAGACCTTCGCAAATACGGCTCCTCGGGAGCCTCTCGTACTCCCAGGGATCAGAGCTCCATTTAAAAGATGAGTTACATAACCGTGATCCCTCTTATTGTCCCATTGGACCAGATAAACTGCCAAAAGTCAGAAGGTTTAACCCACTTCATAAATATCCCACAAGAGCAGATGTTTTAACTGAGTTCCTCTTTGTAACTGGGCAAGCCTTGACTCTTCTGGGTGTGCTCATGTTTTGGAAATGAGGAGACAGTCTTCATGTTCCTGTAACAACAAAACCAAATGAATCCAGTAGTTAGACTTGGAAGGGGATTGCTGCTGCCTCTCTATAGCAGAGTCCTGCCCAGGGCTGACACAACCTTTCAGATACCTGTAAGGAGCAGCTTTGCCTGCGGCTGACCCAGAGTATTCTGGGGAGGGTGTTGGTTTGGGTTTGGTAGGATCCCAGCGTTCATGAGCACATCTCCCTGGAGTCAGTGCCGACCACGCACAACTGCTGTAAAGCAGCTCAGGCGGAGAGGTATTCCCTGTCGTCGGCACCAAAAAGGGTGAGTCAGGACTCCCAAAATCATGAGACGAAACCCACACCTTTTCTCCACAACCACAGAGCCTGCAAAAGTGTATGAAAATTGAGGTAGACAACCCAAATCCAGATGATGGGGCTTTGCAAACTCTACGTATCTTGTCACTTACGGTAAATCTGAAGCATCTTGGGCCAGGGCTGAAGTAACAACAGGAAAGTCAGTCGGGCTGTAACTGAGCAAAACGTGGTGGTTTCCTTGAAAACGATTTTGCTTTGGCTATTCTCTTACATTCCAAGAAGGCAAGCTATGTGTACCCTGGGATCATTTATCATAACCAAATCATTGAAATCCTGTGGTTCTTAATATTTGGGGGGGTTTTATTATAAATGAAAATTTGCTGCAGGTTTAGTGACACAGCTAGTGCTTCGGCAAAATGGGAAATGGTAATTTTAGAAAAGGCAACAGCGTTTTTCTTGTTGGGCCAGAGGTTGTCACTGCAAAACTCCATACTTGCTTTAGAGGAAAGAAAACAGTGTAATCACTAGAAAAATCTTTTCCAACACCCCTTAGGGTTCAGCGTTTTATGGCCAAAAAAAAACCCTGAAACCAACCCAGACTGAAAGAAATGCAGTTTCATCCTGAGTGCTCTTTCCTTCCTTTAATCTAAGGCAGTAGCTGCTGCAGCAACAGCAACTTTTCCACTTTCACTTGAAAAGAGAAAACACCAGTCCTTTGTGGGCCAAGTGAGAACGGCTGTTTTTCACCAGACACAGGAGAATCCATCTGAACCCTACCAAATTGTTCAGACTTTGCAGACTTTACCTTCATCACACATTTTTTTATCATCTTTCTCCCCCCTTTTTTAAACCAGACTTGCAATAAATGCTCAAAAGCCCCACGTTACAATTTAATCATGAGCACGAGCAAATCATTAACTTTTTAACTCCGATTTTAGCCGTCATTTTTGGTGCTTAGCATGTGGTTGAATGCCAGGGAAGCCAGTGGAATGGCGATGATTTTATGAGTATTTTGTATCTTGCACACCACAAAACGCACGGCTTGCTGCCCTGTTGCATTGGCAGAGGAGAACAGGCAGGATGACTAAATTCATAATCTGTTTCCCCATCAGCATGATGAGAGGAGAAAGTGCATCAACCTCATATCCCAGCCCAACTCTCGAGGGAGCGATAACACAGCACCTGAGAAATCCCGAATGCAGCCCCTGCAAGTCAGATGGGAAGTTTGGCTGCTTCGGCTCAGCTCCTACCATTGTATTTCTGAGTCCCTCTGGTGGCAACAGCAATCTTCCTTCCCGAAGTGTCAGGAAG